CACCATTGATTACCGTTATAGGGATAAATGGACCATTTTCGACGGTATCCCATATTTCTTCTCCTTGTGCTTCTAGATGTGCCTTCATGCGTATTTTCTAGAAGTCAAAATATTCACCACAAAATAGAGGAGGCTTTTTGTTACTACCACCATCTCTGAAAACGGGATTATGATTTGCGAAAGCCATTCTGGATCTTTTAGGAGAAGGTTACCTATAACCTGCTCTGATACCAATTGTAAATACGAAGTGCGCCTAAGAGGGGGGGGGGTGAATTAGGTACTTTAAAAATTCTGGTTTTTAGTGATGATGGTTCTTATTTTTCTAGTTATAAGTGAGTTTAGGAAAGCTTAAAAATGCAGAAAAATAAAGAGACACATCCTGGTTCCCCTCACAGTCTGAGAGTACTTCAGTCCCCTTTTAACATGAAAGAGATTTCCTTATTGTGGAAAACTTAAACAAGAACTACCAACCAACCAAGAACAATCCTCTTGGACCAATAACAATCCTCTTGGATTTTCACTAAGTTACCTATGAGAACAATTCTCTCAATGTAACTACACTTGTATCCAACAACTTTGGAAAGACAAGATTTCAACAAAAACACTTAAACTTATTTCCAACAATCCTGAAAATTAAGTAAGTAAATATCAATTTTTGAGTTTGAGTGAGTAGAGTAATATTGATCACTTAGAGTGATTTAATAATGTAAGATCTTCTTCTTTCAATAATAATATTGTACAATGACTCAAGATATATTTGCTCAAAGTTTTCTGTTTGTTAATGTATGAAAATGTGCAGAAAACTTATGCATGAAAATGAAGAATGCTTGAGTTTGTATTTTGAAATTTCAGGAAATATTTATGGAAGAAGGTGTTGAAATAGATTTTGAAATTTAATATTTATATGTTCATAACACCCTTTTGAAACAACATGAAGTTCTGGAAATGTATCATGAACAAATGCCAAGTTTGAGTGAAAATATGTAATAAAAAGGCATGATGAACAGGCATGAACAAAGCTGCTATTTTTCAAATTCGTGCAGTATGCAATCGATTGCACCCTTGGTGTAAATCGATTGCACAAGGTTTTAACCGTTATTTTTTAAAAATCTTTAAGATTGCAATCGATTGCATTATCAATGTAAATCGATTTCATGCAAAGTCAGTAGCAAAAAGTAAGTGAGTGCAATCGAGTGCACTTGCAATGTAAATCGATTGCACTGAGAAACAGTAGCAAACATTTTGAAAATTTAGGTATGCAATCGATTGCATAGGCAATGTAAATCGATTACACTGAGAAACAGAAGCAAAAGATCTGAAATTTTGAAGTGTGCAATCGATTGCACTAAGATGTAAATCGATTGCATGCAAGAGAAAAATGAAATTTTATCTTTGAAAAGCTTGAGTAATGATTCTTAAACATTTCTTTTTCATTTTTAAGCATCTATATCTTAAGATCAAAGTAGATAATTTTATTATACCTTTAAAGTTGTTGAGAGCTTTGAATGAAGATATTATCCTTAGATACTTTGAGCTTTGATCATAAATCTTTGCCTTCTTTATTAGCCATGGTTTGTCTTCATCAAAACAAAAGCTTATTTGTGAAGCTTTATTTTACATGTTGAATGAGTTTGAGAGTTTGTGAGATGAGAGAGTTTTGAGAGTTGAAAGATTTTGAGAGTTGAGAGAGTTTGAAAGTTTGAATAAGTGAGGAAGGAAAAGAGACTTTGGTGCGTATTTGATTAAAATAGTGTCTGAAGATGCATCTCTGTAAGTTATGCAGAGATACAATTCCGTAATTTACTTTACATAACCTTAGGGTCTAACTCAAAAACTAATGTGACCGAGGTGCGTCTACATATACATTTCTGAAATATAGGAATACCTAGATTATGATCCGCGCAATGTGCGGTTTTAAATTAGCTTATTCATTTTTATTGAATTTTAAATATATTAAAAGTTGGTTTTGAAAAAATATGATTACTAAATTTTTATGAATTATAATAGAGACAATAATATAAATTAATCACATAGACAAATATACATTTCATTTGAAAAGAAAATACATGTGTGTAGATTGAAAATGATATTTGTAATTTATGTCGACAAGCTTACATATCTATAAAGTGATATATTTGTTTTGTTTGATTCTCATGTTTTTTTCACTTATCTTTTATTTAAATATTTTAATTTAATTTATTAAATATATGTATTAATTTTATTGTTAAACAAAATTAAAAGTTTAATTAAATAAGTTTAGAGTGACTTATACTTGAAAATTTGTAAGAACTATTTTAAGATTATAAATATTTATTTCAAGTGTTATTTTTATTAGTATAATTTTAGAAAAATAAAAAATATTTTATTATACTTGAATTTCCACATCTTTTTTATATTTGAAATATGAGAGAATATTTTTAATTTAAAGAATATAAATATTTGGATTAATGATTGGTTTTTTAAATAAATTTATTCAAAATGATATTTTATTCCGTGTTAGTTTAGTTTGATTCTCATTTTTTTATCACTTATCTTTTATTTAGATATTTTAAATATATATTTATTGTTAAATAAAATTAAAAGTTTGTTTACAATAATTATCAAATAAATTTTTCAATAATTTTATAAAACTTATGTCTATTTTTCTGAAATTTATAAGATTGTTGCATACTATAGTATTTTTTAAGATCAATTTAAAATCATTTATATTTGAAAATTGTGTAAGAACTACTTTAAAATTAAAAAAAAAAACATTTATTTCAAGTGTAATTTTTATTGCGATAATTTCAGAAAAACAAAAAAATATTTTATTGTGTTTGGATTTGGACATCTCTTTTATTTTTGAAATTTGAGAGAAATTTTCTTAATATAAGTGAATATATATAGTTGGAGTAATGATTAACTTGTTAGACCATTTTGTCCAAAATAAATTAAAAATATTTTATTATATTTGAATTCTCTTATCTCTTTTATGTATTATTTAATTTAATTTATATAAACATTATAGTACTAAAGTATATAGACATTTTAAAAAATTGTTGCATACTATGTTATATTTTAAATAATTTTAGAATGACTTATACTTGAAAATTTAAAAAAATTACTTTAAGATTAAAAATAATTATTTCAAGTGTTATTTTTATTATTATTATTTTAGAAAAAATAAAAAATATTTTATTATATTTGAATTTTCACATATCTTTTATATTTGAAATATAAGAGAATATTTTTAATTTAAAGAAATATACATATTTGAATTAATGATTGGTTTGTTAGATTTATTTTTTTAAATTATGTTTTATTACGTCTTTGGTAGGGTTCGAATCGGTGACCTCTAATTCGTAAAAATATGGGATGAAAATAAGTTTTAGAATGTGCTACATAAAACTACAAAGTAATATGGTAAATTTAGAGTTATACTTGACGACATATTAGAGTTATAATTGATGATGTGTTTTATTATATTTAATATATTATATAGATTTTAATTTTTTTTTAAAGTTGTTACAGTAACTTATGAGGAGTAGCCGGTAAATAAAATATCATATATAATTATGAAAATTTAGGTATTTCTTTTGTTCATGGTAGAATTTTTCACACGTCTCAGGGTATAACAAATAATTGGTATTTGATGAAGAGTGGAATACTTTGAGTAATCATTCACCCTCATATTTACTCCAAAATTGTTGATATCAAACATCATACTCTTGATAGCAACGGATTTTTTTCATATGGATATTTTTAAATGTTGGATACTTTTTTAAAAATTCAGCATATTAACGTTTGGTAGTCGATAGATTTGATTTAATTTAATTTCTACTCTAAATATCAAAATCATTTAAAAGTGTAAAGATCCTCTTACAATTCAAATTTTTTAGGAGTGGTAAAACGGACTCGATCTGTTGGACATATCTATTTTACCCGCACTTTAGTATAGGACAGATCAAAGATTTAAGCTCCCACTCTCTAATGTATCCGTTCCGTTCCACTCCGTTCTGTTTTCTACACGAGTTTTTACAGACATATGTATTTTCATATATTTTTGTATTTTTAAGTTTAAAAAGTACAATACCTGCGGATTTTTCCTGTCCCGCCCTTATTTTTTTTGGAGAACAGAACTAGATTTTAGAACCGTCTCTATAGAACGGGCTTAAAAGAAATGAGTATTCTTTAAAAGTTATCTCATAATAAAACTTCTTACTAATGTAGAAAGGAAACACCGTGGCAACATAGTTGTTCTCGTGGATTTCCCTTGATTTTGAGAATTTTTTAGTAATAGGTATCTACATTTTGTTCTATCATTATCTTACCTTTCATTCATCTTCAAGTATACTAGATATTCAATTTTTATATATTTCAAACTCAATACTAGAACTTCCTGCCTTACTTCCCACGAGATAACTTACTATATGAGCTACTAGAAGATTCTTTAGAAATACTAACAATTATGGCAAGGCCAGAAGAATCCAAAACATACATGTGCAATAAATCTTATGAAACATGCATAATAGTAACAAATTATTTTGTTAATTAATGTGTGAAAAAGGTGATAGCCAAAGTAAATGAACCATCTCAAATAAATGAACCAAAAAAAAAAGAAAATTCATCACCAAAATATAACAAACCAAAATATGAAAAATGCATTGATAAAGTCATAATAGTTGTGCAGTTCCAATTTGCAAGTTGCAACTAAGTAGGACAGCATTAATAACAGACACAAATGTCTACTAGATATGTATGTAAGAATATCAAGGTTAACTCCCAGGTCAACAGAGTCAATACCCGAACCATGACAAACTTGTTCGCACTCGCAACAGCTTCACCACAAATTCCTTTGTTTGCGGTTCGTTCTTGACTCGAAACCTTTCTTATGTGACCCTTCCTATACAACCAAATTTATAACCTTTTTCTCATCAGTTTTCAAAAAAATTATAGAACCAAAAAACGAGTTCGCAAAACAAGTTATATAAGCTACATTGCACTAACAAAATGGTTTTTTGTTATGCAACTCTAAGTGCGGCTTTGATCTTCTGAATGGTGCATGAGATGAGATTATTCACGGTGTCCACCGATTCCATTGTGAGTTTTGCAGTTGGAAGACTATTGACTAGAATTTGGAACCCGACTGTTAGCAAACTTCCACCATTGTCGCCTCCACCGCCTTTTTGTGAAGTTTCATTTGATGCACCATAGCTAGAGGAATTATTGCCATCAGGAACAATGGCAAAACCTGAAGGCAAGAGTGCAACATACGCAGAATCACCACCGCTCATTACCACATTCAATGATTGTGCGTCAACCGGTGCATACACCACCACGGAACACGATGTATCCATCCATGTCTCTTGCAAAATCAACATGCTGCTATCGTTTGCATTAACGGCCTGTAAACACAATTGTTTATCAGTTTTGATTTGTATTCCAAACAATGGTCTGATACTAACTAAATGTCATAAAACTGACTTATAGTCCTATTTACGAATTATCTCTAGCCAATGTAGGATTAAGATTTTTTGGATAAGTAAATAACTTACATTAGCACGAAGGAGAGAAACACAATTTCCTTGTCCTTGACCTTTGGCAATGTGAACCATTTCTTGCATTGGTCCACCGTTTGACAAAATGTCCCACTCGCTTCTAAGTCGTTCATCACGCAGAAAATCAAATAATCTTTGTCGTGAAACAGGCATCCAAACAGACGTTGCAGCGCTGAGCACAATACCGGGAGGCTCGCCAGGGTCATCAACATTTTTCCTAGTCATAACTCTCATGTCGTCACTCAGGGTCCCCATTTGAAGGCTGTCCCACTTCCTCGCAGAAGAAGCACAAACCCCGGAACAAAAATTATTCGTCATGCGCTGTGCGAGCTTCAACATGCTTCTTCTACCAGCTTGGCTCAGTGCTGCAAAACAAAAAAGGAAAATTTACACCATTTAATTTGTATAGTTAACAAAGGATTATAAGGGGAACACCAATTTAAATTCATGCACATGGATTGGTTTACCTGTGTGATCGTCACTTGAGATGGACGACGAGAGGAGGATAGCCAAACCTTCACACTGCCTTTGGAGAGTAGCGATCCATCTATGAGCACCGAATCCAATACCGGAAATAAGCAACGGACGATAGAGTTGATGAACAACACTCTCATCATACTCCCAATGTTCAATCCAAGTTACCTACACAGAAATTTAACTATTACAAATAAACCAAGTTTTTGTGTAGTGGTCCAACTTTGATTAGACTAATAGACTAAACTAAAAAGTATGATTAGTTAATTATAAATTAGTAACATATGTTTAATGTATGTTGAGGATTGACTTTAAAGTCAAAACCGAGACGGGTGTCAGACGGATCGAGTTGAATCCCAACACACTGGGCAGATTATAGAACTTTCATAACAATTATAAATTATAAATTATAAATCTCTGATTATAATATTAATGGCACAGATTAACACAACTAATGTCTCCATTAAATATTACTATATAGCATTAGTGGCCTGTATCCAGGTCATATTGGTCTCCTTCGCAGGAAAAACAGATATTTTCATACTAAAAGAGACAGCAATAGAAGCATCAATTGTATTGTTTATGCAACAAAGATTGAAGAATCCTATATTTAGATTTTTCATGCACTTTTAAATACTAAAAGATGCTAAACAGATATGAAGATTAAAAACTAATCCATATAAACCTTGATTTACTAATATCTAGGAATGGCAGTGGATAATTTAATCAAGTGCAGACAATACGAAACACTTGTTATGGATTCCGAAGATAATATAGTACTACACTAAAGCAACGAATACGACACCGACACCTGACACGATATATATACACTGTTAATATAAAAAACACAAGATACTCTCACATTGTCGCATATATTAATTTATTTGTTACACTTATAATAAAATATTAAATATTATTTATTAAAGATTTAAATTGAGAACCAAAATATCATAGGAGTGTATCATAGGAGTGTATAAAGTGTGTTGAAGCAAATATAAAATAAATTTTTTTGGGACACTTGGTCGTTTGACTCTTCGTACGAGTGTCATGCAGATGTCGAACACGGATCAATGGAAAATATGAGGGGCACGTGTCATACGATTGTCTAACATGTGTCTGAATTATCTGACACCGGAACACACCTAATTCTAGAGGGACACATGCTTAGTTACAACACAACTAGAGAAGCATCTTCTAAAGTAAACAAGTAAGAAAAATAAATAAAAAATATTACCGACTTCTTTTGCAAAGTTCAACCTTAACCAATAAAAAAAGGATTTTCACTTACCTTGGAATAACCATTTGGCATATCCTGCACAATACATCCTGAAGGAAGTCTCCTACAGCTAATGAATGGTTGAGAATTAGCATCATGACCCATCTCTACAGAAACATCAACCACAGCCCATACACCTTCTGCATGTTGCTTACAGAAGCGAAGTATTCTCACTTGACGAACCGGCACTAATGGTGAAAGTAATTGAACCTCAGCATGCATCTAAAAATCCATAATGCAGATCAGCTCTTGCAAATCAAGATAAAATGAAGCAAAAATGCGGAATATAAGAAACATACCAAATGTATAGCACCATTTCTGGTTCCACCAATGCCACCAGATAAAACATCAAGGTTTACGGATCTAGCAATCATAGACTGAAACATGTCTGCATATCGATTCTATTCACGAAAATAATAATCAAGTAAAACATTATAGTAAACAAACTTGCATCAACATAAACGAAATTCATAATCTAATTTCACAACTCAAACTAAGTTGAGTATTTAATCATCTTACAGCGTCCATCAAAGTTTCCATAAGGGCTGAACTATTGATTATTACAATGCCGGTTTCTCTCGTAGCTTCAGCGACAAAACCAGGAGGTTTCGGACCAATGCAAGAAGAAAACCTTGCATACTCTTCTTGATTCAAAATGTCCCTCTCTCCGTCCAAACCCTTAATCCAAATAGGACAATCTGCATGAGCCATCTTTAATAGTTCATCCATAGCAGCTAATGCAAGATCTATAAGCACCGATCTCTCAAGCTGAATGTCATTACTATTACCCATCATTCCCATTGGTGATCTAATACCAGGCATTGCAGAACAATCTCCAAGATCAAGCCCCATTGGTAAAGACGGGCCAAGAGAGCTCGAACCACCACCATAACCATTCCTTCCAATACCAAGTTCCAGACCTGAATTTGAGGCCGATAGAGCCATGGGATTAGCCATTGATGATATTGGTTTGCCAAGGAACTTGTTTGTTAAGGCACATATACGGTTCAATTCATCCTTTAGACGGGCATTTTCGATTCTAATCTGGTGCTCTTCAAACAAAATCTGCCCGGGAATCGCTGGTCCACCACAGTTGTTACATATTGGATTTACCATTGCGTCTTTCATTATATTATTCTCCCCTCTTAGCTTGTCATTTTCCTGCCTAAGCATTATGTTCTCATGTCTTTCGAGTTGAGTCTGATTCAAGAAAGGCAAAAAAATCAGATAAATCTAACAAAGCTTTAAATCACACATCGAGATCTTTTGTATCATGGAGGATATAGAACAAATGTGGCTGAAGAAGTCTAGATTCGGAGATATAAGAAAACTTCAATGCTGCAATTTAGATCGCATTCACAGACTTTCTATGATAACAAAAAAATGTGGTGTTTAAAAGTCACCTTCATTTGTGTTCGCCGATTCTGAAACCAGAACTTGACTTGTTTATTTTCCAAGCCAAGTCTCCTACTAAGATCCAACCTTTGTTTCTCATCAGGATGAGGACACTCTTTGAAGAAACTAAAAAAAACAACAAAATATCTCAATCACATAGAACCATATTAGTTCAAAGTTCAACCCGAAAAACAAAGATTTTTTTTTTGTGGATTAAACCATACCTTTCAAGCTCTTGAATTTGATTAGGAGTATGTCTATGGTATCTCTTCTTCCTCTTACGCTGATCATCACCGCCATCTTGTTCATCACCAGACATTCCATCGAGTTCAAAGTTATCACTTCCGGACCGGCTTTCATACTCATCCTCCCTCATTCTCCCAATCATACTAGCATCTAAACTATCACCGGTAAGACCGATCTCACCCCGACCCTCCATTTTTCTTTACTGTAACAAAAAACAGTCTCATCAGCAACATTAAAGAACAAAAAAGAAACAACCAAAGATGCACAAATCAAATCCAACGTCAACAAAGAACAATAAACCATAAAATAACATAAAGCATACAGTTGAGAAGAAGGTAGAAGAATTTTGCATTGAACAGTAAATGTTCCCACTTTCAAACCCCATAAAAAGGATCAACTTTTTCTTTCCTATCACCAAAAACTTGTCTGAGAAGAATAGTACTCTCCATTCCTTCTATTCTGACTCTTATGTATTCAAGTTTGTTTTTTTATTATCACCAATGGTCACTATCACTTTACCAATGAACTTTTCAGTTTCTGATTCCACACACGCTTTGACTTTTTTAACCCTTTAAATCAAAATAAGCTAGAAACTGAACTTTTAGATTAAAAAACTAGAGAGAAAAAAAAGAAGCTTTTTCCTTGTCTAGACCCCTACAAACAACAAGACTTTTAACACTTTCTCTCTCTTAAGAACAAAGACTAATCCAGAAACAGATGAAAAAGGTAACAAGACAAGAAGAAAGTGTCTTCTTTTCTGATCCAACAAGGTTCACACATGCTTCTCATGTCTGAACCCACAACAGCAACAAAATTACAAAACAGTGACACATAAGAGAAAGAAAAAAAGTCCTAAATTTTCTTATATTTCACACTTGACCTATTTCTTGTCAGTATTGAGAATTTTGACAGAGACCCAGAAAATAGAAAATCCAAAAAAAAAAATTATCTTAAAATTTGGTAACAAAAAAAAAACATCAAAATAAGAAGAAGAAAAAAACAACCTTATCTCACATGATGTTTGTTTCTCATAGTCATATTCACACACAACACCAAATCTAAGCAAAAACAACTGGTTGACATTTCATTCTCTCTCTCTATCTCTTTCTCTCTCTCTATATCTATCTATCTCACACACACAAACAACACTGATATAAAAAGTTAGATGGTTACAAACCAACCAAGGTACGAAGAAAACGATACCTTTTAATTTGACAGTGAGAAACGTAAAAGGACCCAAAAACAAATAGGACTAATGGGTTCCACTGCAAGAGAAAAAGTTATGATTTTTTTCAAAATAAATAAATGAAAATCAAATTTATGGTTGATGAATTTGACGGTAGCTGCATTTAATTTTAATAATGGTGAAAAAATCATTAAATTTTGGTTTCAAAAAATCATAAAATTTTAAACACCACTAACGTTGGTTTTTGATTTTTTTTCTCTAGAAAATTAATGTGTTTTCTTCAGATTCTTTCACAGAATCGGATCTATGGAAGAGAAAGAGAAATTAAAATATTATTCTAGTGAGAGATGATGATAAAAAATATTTAATATAAAATTAGTACTACTAATCTTGATTGAAGAATATTAACGATAAAAAAATGATGGTGGAGCTGACTTACAGTGACTATGTATGAGATGATGAGGTAATCAAAAGTCAATGGATTATCAGAAAAGCGCTTTTTTGGGTTTGAATTTTCTGGACGAAGAACACGTTCTTGTCTGTGACAGGTTCTTCAAGTACTTTTTTTTTTTACACTGTGGTTTTTATCCTTTATATACTCTCTTGATCACACGATATATGAACAAAAATAGAATAAATAAATTAAATGTATTTAATCAAAATTTTAGTTACCTCTGTCCTTAAATATTTAAGATCATCGAAGTTAAATCACGCTAATTATAAAAGTTGATTAGAATGTTAAATTTATTGACAATGGTATAGTTTTATAAGTTTATTTTTAGGAGAGAGAAATAATTAATATTTATATAAATATATTTATTATAAATTACAGAAAAATATGTAATATAATTAAGGGTATGTTTAGAAAAAAAGTTATTAATGTAAGTTGAAGAGAATTTTGCATCACAAAGTTGCTCAGTAAATGGCTCAGAGGATTAAAAATCAATTGTACTGGGTAAAAAAATCAAATATGGTAAATATACAGTCAGACTTCAAATTTTTCTGTCAATATTAAGGTTTTAAAGTCATATTCATCATTTGATCAAAGGTTGATCATGATTCCTCAAGAAAAGCCCTCAAATCATCAAAAGTCAAAAGTTGACAAATTAAAGTTTCTTTATGAGAAGTCAACTGAACTTTGACCAAACATAACTTTCACATGCTTCATCAGATTTTCCCCAACCAAAGCTCATTTTGAAGGAAATCTAATTCTCTTCAACTTTGTATTTCTAAGCCCAAGTCCAAAAAGCGCATCATTTGAGAGATATAAGCCAATACATTACAGGTCATTTAAAAAGTCAATAAAAAGACACTTTTTGTCAAGGCAACTTACATCAAGATAAAGTTTTCAAACGAAAAAATGATCAACATAGAGATTGTAGAGGACATCTTGAGCTTTCCAAAAAGTTTAAGATCACCTTCAAAAGATGAAAATTGAGGGAGTTATGACCAGTGAAAGTTGGAAAATTTTGAGCAAATGCATGAAGTTTAAGTAAAGCAAACTTGATATTTTGGACTATTGGGCTATTATTTCAGAGTCCAGGTGTGTTCTATATCTCATGTATACCTCAAGACTTATGTATACACCTCCTTTTGATTTATTTTATTTATTTATTATTTTTATTCATTTAAAAGTCAAAATTAAATGAAATAAGACAAGGCCTTCTTACACAAAGACCAAGCTCATATCTTTGCCCTAATTTCAACCTATATATTCTTCCATCCATTCCCATACAAGGACACGAAAAAACTTTTGCCTCAAAAGTTATCAAAAATCTCAAAATTTCAAAGAATCCTAAAAATCTTCAAATCCTTATCATAAGCACGTCCACTACAAAGCAGTCATCCCATTCACTCCTAACAATCATACAGAGTAAGGCTGAGTCGGTTTTGATGTTTCAAAACACATGAAACCCCATCGCATGGCATATCCGATTTCACATTCTTGCAAAATTCATATTTTTAATTTTGTTTTGTTTTTAAGTCATATTGATGTTATTAACATACTTCTGAGATGTCTTTGAAAACAACTTTGGATCATCATAGTAATCACATGCATGCTAAATCATAGAACACCATTGTTGCATCGATTTATGTGTTTTTCTTCATAACTTAAAAACCATTGATTTTTAGGCCAAAACAATCCTTCCATTGAACCCACAACCCTCAATTTAGAGGGGTAGGACGTTTTTGAATCATTAATGCTTTGTATTTTATAGGTTTGATAAAAGAAGGTCACCTAAGAAGACGATCAGAGTTAGGGCTCTGGCGCCTCTTCGGTACAAGCTGATTATTTATAATATATATTTATAGTTTGACATAAATTAATGGATGTACAGCAGCCCCAGCGGTAGAAGAACGCGCGATAAGATGTTGGTGTCAAAGGACTTGGGTTCGATCCAGCCTTTTGCCACTTTATTTTTCTCATATTTTCATATTTTGCAAGATAGAATACATAACGCGCTGAGGCCATATCTTGACACTAAGGCACACTTGGCCCGGTGGTGATTATGTTGCTGGAAAGTCCTAAGGGTGTGGGTTCAACATCCACTCCTACCATTTGGTTATTTTTTAACACATTTTCTTCTTTTCATAAAACCTAACATTTTTCACAAACCTTTGTTTTTTTCTTAATAAACCCTAATTTAATGTTAGGTTTTTTAATCAATCTTAATTTGATTTTTAGTTTTTCTTGATTAAATTAAAATCAACTTAGATTTTAAGGTTTTGTTTAGTTTAATCAATCATTTTTTTAATTAATTAAAATTAATTAGGTTATTAGGTTAATCGTCAAAAACTCTTTTCTGTCAAAAATCGCCAAAACAATTTCTTTTCCGTTCCTTTTTATTTTACAAGTTTTCCTATTTTATTACTGTCACGTAGTGATACGGTGAGAGAACTGACTTGGGTGTTTTACGTTTTATCGCAAATGTTGCAGTTAGCAAGAGTCGCCATCGACTTTTCTTTTATCCAAAAGGAAAGGCTGAAAAGAACATGAAATACCTTTGAGATTATTTTTTGAGTTCGGGGGGTAGATTATGAAAAGGAAAGGTTTTAGCACCCTTTACATTCATATTTATCTATAGACTCTTAGTTGCTTGCTAGATCACTTGCTTTTGTTTGAAAATTTGCTTTATGTGGTTTTTGAAATTAATTTGAAAAGGCGCCTTCGTTTAAGCAAACTTTGTAATAGTTCTCATTCGTAAGAACGTATACAAAGTGTTGAGCTTTTGAAAATATTTCATGTTTGGAAAAAAATTTGAAAGTGTTTTTGAAAGTGTTTGGTGTTTGTTTTGAAAATAAGCAAGAGTGTTTGTTTTGAAATTGAGCAAGCAACTAGGAACAATTTATCCACTCAAAAGTCTTAATTCATTTCTTATTTTCCTTTGATATTGTTATCTTACCATTGGTTTGGTAAGAAGTATTATATTTGGATGTAAAGGGACGGGCATGGGTCATCGTATAGCCATAATAGAAATATTGTGAAATATCTTAGCAATTCTCTTTGAGGGACTAAGATCATCTTGAAAGGCAACATTTGATAGCGTCATCGAGGGACTATGATCTTATATTTTTTATTTGTTTTTGCTAAGATACCCCACATGCATAACATGGCCATTTTTGTAAGGAAACAAAGTGGAATTACCCTAAGGGTGCAAGTGTGCAAATGTGTTTGATTTACATGCATTGTTTATCTTGAATTAAGATTTGCTAATTATTGATTTTATCTTTCTATACAAACCCTAATTACTAGCATTTATATAAAGCGATAAATTGCGGAAAGTCATTGTTAAATATTACAGACAAAATGTTCTTGAATTGAAAGAAAAGCAATAACAAGTAGATTACTCCTCAATGAAGGAGATTGGCACAAAGTCCTTTGCATGCGAATTCTTCAGCTCCTTTGTAGTTGGATACACCCAATCTTCAAATGTAGCTTCTTC